CGAAGGACAGAAATTTTATGTTAAACAAAGTTGAAGCTTGAGTGACTCAAGACTGCAGATTTCTTTTCCTCCCAGGAGTACCTCTCACCACAAGGCTTGTGTGGGCTACTTCAGGCTGTCTCTTTGAGCTGGCAGGCAGCGTTGCAACCATGGAGCCGCTCTGAGGAGTTGAGACTGCTTGGACCGTGAGCCATAACCATGTTGTGGGGTTTGGGGGCAGGTGTGCTTACCCCTCGCCCTGTGATTGCTTGAGCTGGAAAAGGTACTAAAACTCTCTCAAACCGCTTATCTCTGAGTTGAACTGGTTGCGATGTGTGGATTTCTTCCAGCCTGAGCAGCCATCAGCGAGTGGCACTAAGGGAAGAGGATAGCAGATGGATAGCTCAGCAGCTACTTGTTATATGAGCAGCACCAAAACTAGAACTCAAACCAAATGATTGTTGAGACAGCCTGGAAGTGTGGGTTTTATCTGCTGGATTTGCTTTCCTGTTGTTAGATGAGATTGCTCACTCCCTCAGCTCTGGGTCTTGCAAGCAGGAACAGGTTGATCAAAGGCAAGAGTAATGAAGCAATTTCATTTCCTGGGTTTTGGATGATGGGTGAGGCTTACACATGGAGGAAGTCTTGTGTAACTGAACCCACTCCTTGTATTTTTTATTGCAAGCAGGAACAGGTTGATCAAAGGCAAGAGTAATGAAGCAATTTCATTTCCTGGGTTTTGGATGATGGGTGAGGCTTACACATGGAGGAAGTCTTGTGTAACTGAACCCACTCCTTGTATTTTTTAATGCTAAACCGTGTCAGGCAAAAGGATTACAGGTACAACGCATGTTGGTAGCTTCTGATGTGAACCTGCCTGATTCCCCCCTTAGGTTTTACACACTATAGAGATACACTGGCATTTGCCTGCACAGGAGAAGATAGTATGTAGTTTGGCTAGCATGACTTCAGTGGAAAAACAACCCATAAAAGTGATGACATGTTGGCTGCAAGTTGGAAAGTAATCTTACTCTAAGTCTTTGCAAGAGCGAGAAGCAGCAGGCAGCTAAGCAAATCACAGGACACAGATCATTTCTAGGGGCAGCCCTTAATAAGCCATAAACAGAAACCATACAAAAATGATAGTATGTGATCCTGAAATTATGACTCTATACTAACAGAAAGGTGACATTTAAGGTTGCCCAAGTAACTGTAATTGGAACATTTCCTAACTGTTGTAGGGCAATGTGTTTGATATTTGCAAATATAATACTGTTATAACCTTTCTAGATTTTTGTACATAGACTGCCGTTGAATATTGTACCTTTAGACTCACATGACAGAAGGTGTTGTAATTTAACCAGAAGACAAACTTCCCATGGAATGGGAAACTAAGGCAGTAGTGCCATTTGAGATGAGGGAATTTTTGTTGCAAGAACTATGTTTTACATCTTCACTCAGTATCTCTTCTTCAAAATATGGGAGGCACAGGGTTGTGAACAAAAGCAGACTGAAGAGGACAGTGAGATGAACCGTTCGGTTAGAGCAGCTGTTTCAGGTTGGTCTATACTGTGCATTGAAGACATACAGTGCACGACAGTTAAACTTTCCTTTTCAAAAGTAGTGTTGCTTTTACTTGCCTGATGTTGTGTATTTTTCCATTGCAATATAAGGCAGGTGAAATTATTGTCGGCTTTACTGTGTGTTCTGCATTTGCAATATAAGGCAGATGAAATTATTGTCCGCTTTAAAGGTGCTCAACTGCCTTTACAAAAGCATAGTAAACAGATGCTGATGTGATACCAGGCTGCTCTGAACTGCCACTGCGTTCATCAACACCTTGAATATTGCATGGAAAAAGCAACCCTAGTATTTGGTTCATGAACGGAGTGATGACTTCAGTGCTGAAAATGAAGGGTTCCCCTATAGCTGTACTAATCCTAGCTACCCATTAGCAAATTAACAGTGCCCGCAGACATGATGGGATCCCTTCTGAGGCCACACAAAGTGACATTTGGATTGAGCAGACTTTTGAAAAGCATCTCTCTGTGGACCAGATATTTGTTCGTGCTTTGTTACTGCTTAGTGGATTTTTTTGGCTGCTTGCCAAAGTCCTTGAATTCCACTTTAATTGCACATTTCAGAGGACCAGTTAGAAATGTCTCTTTCTCAGAGCTTCCCAGATGCTGCTGGCTCTGGCAGGAGAGTTTCAGAACAGGACCTGTTTTCTTAATCCCTGTGCTGGAGGGACAAATGACAGCATCTTTATTCAGTTGTACTTCTCCTTTAATTCACTACCTACTTAAATCCTACTCAACTTAAATTTTAATGTTTTAAGTTAACCGGTTGTTTAAATGAGTAATGGCTGTTTTAGGTTAAAGAAAACAGGACCAACTTTGAAATGTTGCTATAGCTTAATGTTTCCGAACTTTGCTTTGGTCAAACCATAGGAACTTTGTTTTTACAAGCTGCCCAAAAAAGCAAATTCGCATTACCTTTGGCTACAGATGAGATATTTGTCAAAGTGTCTCAGGGCTCACAGTCCAAGTTCATTTGCGATGCCCCTCTAATGAGGGACCACTTACCGTGCCAGCCTTCAGGTCCTTCTGGAGTCATGAGAGGATGAGGCTGGCACAGGACCTCTGCTCAGCCAAGACACTGCGTCCAGTTTCCTGCGAGCCTTGTATTAACCCTCCAGACACCCTGGGACTTGGCAACTGGATTTATGTGTCTGTTGATGAATATGTAATTGATATGGAGATGGATGGCTATGCAAAGTTCAGGGCAAGAGGAAATCCGGCCTGGGGCAGACAGTGCGGTTATCTTAGTCAATGAGTAAGTGCAGCTTGTGTTCCCCCATGCCCAGTCCTGCAGTCTCATGTTTCTCCCACTGCCTCTGAGACTGCAGGTTGTGGACGATGCTTATGGCTCAGGAGGGTCAGGAAACTTGGGATTTAATTCCCAGCTCTGTGCTGAATAAGACCTATATGACCAGTTCTGCCAAAGCACAATCTCCTCAGCACCCCGATGCCTCCAGCTCCAGAGCAGGTACTCCACGGGACCATGTGAGATGTGGCAGAAAGGAGCGCTCTCCTGGAATACGGACATAATGCCCCCTTCTTCTGCCTGTGGAAAACTATGGCAAGTGGTGTAACTGTCCTGGGTTTGGTCAGAACAGGGTTAATTTTCACCGGACTCCAGGAAGGGGCACAGCCGGGGGGTGGGGGCTGACCCCACCTGGCCAAACAGAGCCCGGTATTCCATACCATGTGACGTCA